TCACTTGAAACTGGCACTACAAAGTGGAACTTTTAAAAATTAGGTTAGGGCCGGGGATTTAGCTCAGTGGTTCCGCTGCCTGCTTTGCAAGCAGGACCCGAGTGAGTTCAATCCCCGGTACCAAAAAAAAAAAAAAGAAAGGTTTTTTCTTTTAGAGATAAGCAACTTCTCCAAACTTCCTCCTGCTAAGCACATAGCCAACGCCCTCTCCTCTCCTCTCCTCTCCGCAGCCAAAAAAAATGACAAAACCTGCAGTTGCTGGCCCAGGAGGCAAGGAGCCTGGTTTCTTTTCCACAAGAAAGAGGATGCGCTGAGGATGGCTGGAAATGATACAGCAAGTGTAAAGATCTGCACTGTCTCTGTGCTCCCCTCCCCTCTGTTTCTTACCCTTGCCCACTTGCAATTGGGGAGATGGTGATTTGAGGCAAACAGGCCCCTCTATCTCCTCAGAGCTAGCTTTCAATAAATTCTTTTTCCTTTTTACCCAAATATACAGCCTTCTTTGATTTGGTCAGCATCAAGCAGAAAAACCTGAGCAAATGAGCCCAAATGTCTGCTCACACATTCATTTGTTCTTTTTGCTGAACACTAAGTGAAGACAGGGATGTACAAGAAGAGTGGGACATGCCCCAGCTCTCGGGAATCTCAGAGACCAGCAAAACAAGAAGAGAAGTGGTGTACCCCAGGTTCAGGCATGCCTGGGTTGGAATCCCAGCCTTGCCATTCTTTGCTGTTGCTGTTGTTGCAGTGCTGGGGATGGAAACCAGGTCCTCACACTTGCTAAGCCAGTGTTCTACCACTGAGCCACATCCCACCCCTCCAGCCCTGGCACTTTCATAGAAAGCACTTTCTGAGCTACTTTCTTCAGCTCTAAATGGGATGATGCAGATGATAGTGATGCTGCTCATGATGGTGATGATGAGAATGACCATGATGAAGGCGGTGGTGGTGGTAGCCGGTTGTTATAAGGGTGGAAACCATTTTCTGAGAGCTCGTTAGTGGAATTGTTAGTTCTAGCCTCAGCCCTCTGGGCTCAGTTCCAATGTGATTTCCATGACACATAATCTTCCTTCTTGGGCATCTTTAGTTATCCTCCATGTGAAACCCAAGCTGGCTTAGTCCACAGGCAAATGCCTCCACAGAGACACATGCAGCTAGAAGGAATCAACCAGTTGCATGTTTAGAAAAAGATGCCCACTGGCAGCAATGTGTACCCAGTGGGTGGGAAAGAGCCACCCAGAGGGAAAGGAGCAAAAGCAAAGTGCGCATCAGCCATATGCCTCTCTGGAAAAGAATGCAAAGCTCCGTTTAGCAAAGACATATTCAACTTTGACTTAAGAAGTAGAAACTATGGGCCAGGGATTTAGCTCTGTGGTGCTGCTGCCTGCCTCAAAAGCCCAAGGTCTTGAGTTCAATCCCCGGTATCAAAAAAAAAAAAGTAGAAACCACAGGCCTAACCCTGGATATCAACATCTGAGAGTACCTGAATGGAAAAGGAGCAGAACCAAATAAGAGACATCTGCAAGCATGTCTTAGAGTAGACACTTGGGCTTTGGAAATCTCTTACGCTTTTCCAACAATTGGTCAAATGTGTCAAGAAAATGATGTCCTCTCACTGAAGTGAAACTTGAGAATGAGGTTAAAACTATTCTCCATAGTACTGTAAAGGATCCATTTTGTTTTATGTAAAGAAACATGGTTCCCAGGTCAAACTTAATTGCTGCAAACAAGATGTAAACAGTTGCCAAAATCTACGTACGCTGAATTGATAAGTAAATCTGAGGAAAAAAATTGGGGAAAAAAACCCTGAAAATATCTAATGTTATGGTAAATGATGATGAAATGAAAAGCTTTTTTTTTTTGGTAGCGGGGATCAAACTCAGGTCCTTGTGCTGGCACAGCAGGCAGCAAAACCACTGAGCTAAATCCCCAGCCCGATGATGAAATGATATTAAACTATGAAATACTCAACTATGCTGGGCATGGCACTTAATTGACATATTGCATCTTGTTTAATTCCCATGGAAACCTCATGATAGGTACGTTATCACCCCCACTTTACAGATAAGGAAACTAAGGCAGAAAATGTGATAATGTCACAAGGCCATATAACAGTATGTAGTTAAATCAAAAGTCATATCCTCTGCCTGCCTCACAAGTTCAAGGTCCTGAGTTCGATCCCCGGTACCAAAAAAACCAAAACAAAACAAAAAACAAATTCACTCTCAGGTCTGTCTGGCCCCAAAGTCTGTGAACAGAAACTGCTTCCTCCTAAACCACTGGTCTCCACCTTTTATAAATCATAAGGTCCATCAAGAATCTCATTAATCTAACTAAAGGGACCAGGTGGTAGAAAAATGCTTGTAAACCCATCACTGTGAGCAGGTGAGGCAGGAAAATCACAAGTTAGAGCCCAGCCTGGGCAACTTAACAAGAGCCTGTCTCAAAATTAAAACTTTAGGGCCTGGGATTTAGCTCAGTGGTTCCACTGACTGCCTTGCAAGTACAAGGTCCCAAGTTCAATCCCCGCTACAATAAAAATTTTTTAATTAAAAATTTAAAAAGAACTGGGATATAGCTCAGTGCAAAGGCTCTGAGTTTCATCCCTAGTAGTGCAAGAAAAAGAGAAAGAAACAAGAATTTAATTAAAGGTGTATCTATAGAGGTGAATGTTAACACCAATTTTACATGCAACTTCAGAGGGTCTAGGGACACAAAGTCCATATGAGAGGTGCCTGTGAACTGTGACAGCTGAAGACCTGAGATTAATTACACCAGAGAGCACTGAGACAAGAATGCTGAACACAACCTTTATGTTCCAGGTGACCAGACAGAGACAAGTATATAAAAAGACAAAAGGATAGACATGCCCACAAGTGTGTGCATTGTGCATGTGAGTGATTAAAGAAACACCTATGAAAGGTCAAAAATCCCGATATGTCCATCAACAGGACAACTTGGGCTCAACCCAGTCTATTGTGATCTCTTCATAAAGAGGCCATTAAGAATTGGCACCCACTTTATCACTGACAGTTGTGGTCCCAGTCCAGCCATGGCCCGCCTTGCGTGAGCAGGTCAAATCACTTAGTGTTTGGGACAAGCAGGTCTTTGCCAAGCCTTTGCTTCCAGCCTGATAAGCCACCCTGCATGACACACTACATGCACATCCTGGATTAGTGGGATGCAATGGCTGCCCCACTTCCTAAAGTTGAAGGAGAAAAACACAAAGAACCAGGAGGCCCCAAGGGCCCTTGGAGGCTGTCTCCCGGATGTGCCCCTTCTCCACTTCTGGAGCTGGATTCTTTCTTTGAACATATCAAAGGGCACATCCACCTCTGACGGCATAGATTTCATCTAAAAGATGACTCAAGTTCCCTCAAATGTCCAAGAAAAATAAGACCCTGGACAGCTGGGTTTTATTTTCTACTGAGTATTATGTGTAAAAGCTCTAAGTTCTGCCTTCTGAGAAAAGATCAACTGTCATTTGTTCCTTGTACCTGACATTTCAGCAATGCCTAAAATGGGCTCTTTGGCAAAGAGAACTTTAGTTGACATCAGAGGTTGAGACCCCCAGTGGGGCTGGAGAGCACCCTGCACCCAACATGGGGAGCCTGCCCAAGGGATGGACCCAGCAGGGCTGAAGCAGCACTGGTCACCCCTTAGAATCAGCTCCCTTGCCCAGGCTCTTGCTTTGAATGCTGTGATGGCACCAAACAGCAGACAGCATGTACAGAAAAATCTCACAAAGCCCACATCTGTAGGAACCTAGTGGCCTTCTCTGGAAATAGAAGGAAAGCGTGAGGCCCAGAAATGAGGCTGTAGAACTTGGTGAGCTGTTAAATGAGACAGCAGGGGGGCTGGGGATTTAGCTCAGTAGTTTCGCCACCTGCTGCGCAAGCACAAGGATATGAGTTTGATCCCCCGTACCAAAAAAAAAAAAAAATGAGACAGCAGGTTAGAGTAAGTCTGAACATGAGACTGGAATTTTTTCCTTTTCTTTTTTTCTTCCTTCTTTCCTTTCTTCTTTCTTTCTTTCCCCTCTCTGATAATGGGGTTCAAATCTAGGGCCTCACACATGCTAGGCAAGTGCTCTACACTGCAGAGAACCACAGCAGTCTATTGACATCATTCATGTCTCTTCCAAGGGAACTAGAAAAAGGAATTGGGGGTGAGGCAGTGATCTAATTCCCGACTGGACACCCTCAAGGCCTCCATCCTTGGTCTGTCTCCTTGCTCAGGCTGTCTGTACATTCCAGGGCCCCTAGATCTGCTAGCACTGCTAGGTTCTTCACATCACTCAACAGTATCTGACACTAAAATTATTCCACATCACCAGTACCTAACAGGAAGCCATCCCTGAACACTCTGTCCACAGGGACCCCACACTTCTATCATGAATCCCCACCTGGGGTTGCTCACTCAGTATTGAGTGCCACTATGCCCTGGGTACCAGGAAAGCACCAAAAGGACTTCCAACCTTGCACACTCACTCAGCACCTTCATAGCTCTAAGATAGCAGGCCTATGAAGGTGTAAGATAAGTGTGGTAATGCACACCTGTAATTCCAGCTACTTGGGAGGCTGAGGCAGGTGAATCACAATTTTAAGGATACCCTGGGCAACTTAGTGAGAAGCTATCTCAAAATTTTAAAAAATAAATGAAATAAATTAAAAAATTTTTTAAAAAATAAAGACTGGGAGTATATCTCAGAATTCCCTAGATTCAATCCTCAATAACACACCAAAAAAAAAGCATGTCAACTGAGAAGGGGACAGATGCGTGGCCTGCCCTCCCCTTCCAAGAAGCTCCAAGCACTCTGAACACCTCTGGAGAAGACACCGACATGTTGCAATAATGAACAGGTGCCGACTTTGGAAGGCAGCCTGCACCACGCCACCCTTATCAGCACACCTGGATCATGTCCCGTTTTCTCTGACGACTTTTCCAAGAGACTTCGGTCTATAAAACGGGATGCAACTCTGCCATCAGTAGTTCAGAGACAAGATCAGAAAGAGAAGCAGCTTCTGATAACTTTAACGATCAACACTGAGCAAGGTAAGAACTTACATAGGATGCACGAGGAGAAAGGGAGGTAGGCACAAGCATAGGGCAGGTCATGTAGGGACCTACAACCAGGGTTCCTGAGTTTAGAGTCTAGTGATGTTCCTCGGCCAGTGAGATGTATAGCATTCTGCCCAGCTCGGGACAAGTGGTTACCAATAGCCTGTTATGTGATTTTTTTATTTGTTTTTTTGTTGCTGTTTTTTGAGACAGGGTCTCACAATGGAGTTCAGGCTGGCCTTGAACTCTCTGTAGGTCAGGCCTCAAACTCCTGGCAATCCTCTTGCTTCAGCCTCCCAAGTCCTGGGATTACAGGCATGCATCACCATGCCCAGCCCTTATTATGTGATTTTAAGAGAGTGGGAAATGTATCACTGGGATCCTCCAAGAGTTCTGGTCTGCTCAAAGTTTAACAATACTGCCATCAACTCCATCACAGGCATAAGATTTTTTTTCCGTTAAAGTATGTTTAGATGTTATGTGACATAAAGTTCAAATTTCTCACAGATGAGAGTAAAATGAAAAAACTGATTTTAAAAGGGGATGAGTTTTATTCAAAGAGATTAATTTATTCAAGGTGATGAATTGTCATTGGTTCTGTTTATGCCATAACCACCTTCTTTTTGATGTTGACAACAAATGATTTGCTTTTGTTAATGTTTATGTTCAGTGTTAACCTAAATAATAGAAAGATTCTCTAAAGGTTATTTATTTGAAAACAGGATTGCATATTAACTGAGGATACGCCAGCCATAGTAAACCATGAGTGTATTTAAAGAAGTTAGAGTAAGGAGACTCATTTATTTATTTATTGGGGGGGAGTGTTTTGTTTTAGAGACATGGTCTCATTATGTAGTCCAGGCTGGCCTTGAACTCACTATGTAGCCAGGCTGGCCTCAAACTTGTGGTGATCCTCCTGCTTCAGCCTCCCACAGGCATGTGCCACCATACCTGGCTAAGATGTTTGTAAAGGCAAACAGAGGAGGGCCAGGGATGTAGCTCAGCAGCATAGCACCTGCCTGGCAAACACAAAGTCCTGAGTTTGATCCCCAGGTCAAAAACAAACAAACAAACAAAAAGAACAAAGGGAGAAGGATCATAGAAGATGCTTTGAAACAGTAATCAATTAACAATGAAGGGCCTGGGATTTAGCTCAGTGGTTCTGCCACCTGCTTTGCAAGCACAAGGTCCTGAGTTCAATCCCCGGTACCAAAAAAAAAAATTAATAATGAAACTGGCCACAGTCCAATGTTGGACAGCTACTAGACAGATGTCCTTGCAAAAGTGTAGATTTTTGGAGGGAGGGAGTAGTGGGGATTGAACCTAGGACCTTCACACTGAGCTATATCCCCAGCCTTTTTTTATTTTTGATATTGAGCCAGGGTCTCAATAAGTCCCTAAGCTGCCCAAGCTGGGCTTGAACTTGCAATCCTCCTGGCTCAGCCTCCCAGAGTACTGGGTTTACAGGTGTGTGCCACCGTGCTCCACTCCGAAGTGTCTTTAGTGTAAGGTTGCAGTGGCCTTTGGTGAGGTTGTGACGAGTTCTTGTTATTCAGGCACACATGCATGAGATCCTCTTCTTCATAACCTCTCATAGCTTCATGTACTCACCCTTGGGGTTAGGGCTTGACCAAAATGACTCCATGTTGATTCTGACAACTTTCACAAAGGCAAGAGCAAAGATCCACAATCCCAATCTTATAAAACTTGACTGGTTAAGAAAGGCAAGCAGTGAGGAATTCTAGAGTCTACTCCCTTCTTTCAGGAAAATGTCACATACTTAAGCCTCCTCGTTATTCTAAATGTTAGTGGGTAAAACTCTCAGAGAATCATCGTGAGAGAAGAACGTGAACATGAGAAGTATGGCATGATCTCCAGAAGTCACCAGCACACCTCACAAACAAAGGGGTTCATTGGGTTTTTACCCAAGCCTCTTCCTCCCCACTAAGACCCTGAGGTAGAAATAGAAGGAATAATATACGCTAGATTTTCTTGCAGAATCACGTGAAATGTCACAGATAAAGGGGTTAGCATACTGACCAGTACTTACTCAGCTGGCTCACTGGACAGAT